CGGTGCCTGTGGCCTTGCACATGTAGGCTGGCAGCTCAGCACACACACCCTACTGCATTTTCCCTCTGTATCGAAGGCAGTGAAAAAGCCCCTCGCCGTGTCCTCACTAATTATCTCTGACACGCGGTTGGCAACCTTATTTGTGCGGCTCTGTCTATAATTCTGTGCTGGGTTGGCCTCAGCCCTTGGGAGATAAGAAGATGTGTATCTTTGAATCCAAAGATCTGAAAATGCAGTCGAGATGTGCTCCTGTGATCCCTTAATATACTTTAAGCTGGGGCTCCTTTTATTGTCTCTCAAACACCATTTCCCGAATGCACTGCAGCCTGTTCTTCAAAGTGTCCTTACAGGGAGCACCTGATGTCTCAGCAGGACTGAAGCGTGAAGAACAGACTCATCCCTGCTGCTCCCGCTCAGGGTCTGGCAACATGTCAGGAGGAGGTGCTGTTCCTCCCACTGAGGGGGGAGGGGGCTGGATGCAGAACGTCTCTCGATTTCAGACTTCCAGTGCTTCCTGAAGGCAATAGTTTGTGTGTGTATAATGTTGTTGTTGTTGTTTTTTCTTGGCATGGCACGACTGCACAAATGCTGTCTCCTAGATAGAAAACGCAACGAAACCAAACTCAAAAGTCTAGCTCTCTTCCGTGGAGGAAGGTTAGGGATTTGAGTAGAAGGATTCTCTCCTCCTCTTCCTCCTTTCGAAATGTAAACACAATTCTTAAGTCAAGGGCCATACAGAAGGCAGGTTGCAGGCCAGATCTGGCCCTCAGACTGTAGTTAGAAGTCCTCTGTTTTCGATTTGCTGGCATTATAACTGCAACATTACCTTAGCTGGAAATTCAGAATATGGAAACAAAGAAATTGTTACAGTATCCCTTATTCTCCACTTCTGCCCTTTCCTTCTGTATTCCTGGGGCGCCACACACAACGCCCATGGCCTCACTCTGCCTGAGGGAAGGGCCGTTCTGATAACACAGCCAATTTAGAAAGTAATTAAGCATGCTTGGTTTTGTTCAACCTTTCTTCCTCTTGGACATGAGCTGACCATTCATTCATTTAACAAATAGTTATGTATCTCAGACACTGTTACAGGCACTGGCATTGCAATGAGCTGAGATAGGAAGGGTTGGGAAAGGAGCCGCATGGGGTGGGGTGGGGAGACGGGTAAAGATCAGGGATTCAGTGATTAGATACACAGAGTTTAAGATGCCTGCTAGACATACAAGTGGACACATGGAGCAGGGGATTAGATACATGATTCTGGAGCTCAGAGGAAAAAGGCCCAGTTGGACATCAGCTCAGAGACTGGATTTAAAGTCATGGGACAGGATGGGGTCATCAAGAGAGAGTAATAGAGTGAGAAAGACAGATGTGCTCTGCGGGTTAAGCCGCTGGCACTCCGATACTGGGAGCGGCAAGCAAGCGGAAGGGACACGAAGGAGACCCAGAGAGGCGGAGAAGAGGGGCTGTGTGTGGTGAAGGATGGCCTTGCACAGCTGGCACTGCTCATCCTCTGGGGCACAGCTCCCCACCCAGACCGCCTGGGTTGGCACGGATGCTTTTCCCTACTTCTCATGTTCAGTATTCACAGTGCTACTTGCCTATTGACCTTGGTGGAACCATGACTTTCAACCTGATCCCAAATGCAACTTGTATTTTTTTTCTAGAACTGTTCAGAACTGGGTGGGAAAGAATAGTGCTATATCTGAGTTCCCTTAGATCCTCCCGAAAGAAAAACTGAACAAAATGAATTTCATTGGGAAAATTTATTAAATCTTTTTGTGATTGTTTTTTTAAGTCGAGAACCAAATTGATCAAATATTTAGGGTACAATATTATTTTTTTCTCAAGAAAAAATAATATACTTATTAAATGTATCACAGTATTTTTTTTTTTTTTATCAATACTTAGCTTTAATTTCTATTGAATACTCTTTAAAGAGCAGCAAATTCTTGGTGTTCTTTGACATCCTATAATTCAGCATTTGGTTAGGGTCACTTGCCTTAAGACTTGGTAAGAAAGTGATCTTATTTGAATGTTGACGTTTTCCTTTTATAAGCATATCAGAGTAGCCTATTTACAAAGTCAGTTTATAGCCCAGCCAGCGTGGCTCAGTGGTTGAGCGTCGACCCACGTATCAAGAGGTCGCCAGTTCAATTTCCGGTCAGGGCACATGCCCAGGTTGAGGGCATGATCCCCAATGGGGGGCATGCAGGGGGTGGCCAATTGATTTTCTCTCTCTCTCTCTCACTCTCCCTTCCTCTCTCTCTGAAAATAAAGAAAAAAAAGGGTCAGTTTATAGCCACAGCTGAAGTCACTTGGGATCAGTAATTAACATTGTTACACAGAATTACGTAGGGTTTGTGGGTTTGGAATACCCTTGAGTGTGAAAAGAAGATGGAGCCCAGCTGGTGTGGCTCAGCGGTTGAGCACTGACCCATGCACCAAGAGGTCAGGGCACGTGCCCAGGTTGTGGGCCCAATCCCCAGTGTGGGGCATACAGGAGGTAGCCAATCGATGTTCTCTCTCATTGATGTTTCTAGCTCTCTCTCCCTTCCTCTCTCTCTCAAATCAATACAAAAAAATATTTTTTTAAAAAAGGGAAGTGTCTGTGTCAAAATGATTATGTCTAAAGGCACCCCTGACTTAACAGAATCTCAGATCTTTGTTATTCTGGCCCTAACATTTCATGTTTTCCTAGAATAAGTGTGCATCCTCTCTTATTGTCTTATTTTAGGAATTTTTTTTTTAATTGTAAAAATTATTTTGGTTACTTTTTTCAATAGCTAAATGTATTCTTTTTGACATTTTTCTTTTTAACCCCCAACCTCTCTTCCTTTTTAATTCCATTGTTAGTTATTTCATGTCTTTAAAAACTTACACAATCTTTGTACAGTTAATATTCTTGGTAGTGGAACCATGGCAATTGGTTTTTTAAATTAAACCGTATTTAGAGCAGTTTTAGGTCCACAGTGAAACTGGATGAGAAGTACAGAGAGTAGCACTATACCCCTTCTCCCCACATACATATGACCTTCCTAATTGTCAACATTGCCCATCAGAGTGGTGCATTTGTTACAACTGATGGGCCTACATTGACACAACGTTGTCACCCAGTCTGTAGTTTATATAGGGGTTCACTCTTGGTGTTTTTCTGTGGGTTTGACAAATATATCCACCACAGTAGTACCAAACAGAATAGTTCTATTCTTCCATATTCTGCCTACACATCCTTCCCTCCACCATAACTCCTGGTAACCATTGAACGTTTTGTTTTTTTTTGCAGTTGCCGTCATTCTGCCTTTTCCAGAATCCATATAGTATTAATCATATATCTTGAAGCATTTTTCAGATTGGCTTCTTTCATTTTAGTTTTCTCCACATCTATGAATAATACACCATTGTCTGGAAGAATCATGGTTTATCTACTCAGCTACTGAAGGACAACCTGCTTGCCTTAATTTGGGCAGTTATGAATAACACTGTTTTAAATATCTGTGTGCAGGTTTTTGTACAGACATAAGCTTTCAATTTATTTGGGTACATTCCAAAGGGTGCGATTGCTGAATCATATGGTAGAAGCATGCTTACTTTCCCAAGAAACCGCCAGACTGTCTTCCAAAGTGGCTATACCATTTGCATTTCCACCAGCAATGAATCAGAATTCTTATCACTCCAAATCCTCGCCAGCACTGGGTGTTGTCGGTGTTTTGGATTTTGGCCATTCTAATAGGTATCTCATTCTTTTAAAGTACAGTTTTCTAACAACATATGATATTAAACATCTTTTCATAACATGAATTTCAATCTGTATATCTCCTTTGGTTTGATGTCTGTTCAGGTCTTTTGCCTACTTGTTAAATTGGGTTGCTTGCTCATTTCCTCATTTTTGCGCTTTAAGAATTCTTTATATATTTTGGGTAGCAATCCTTTATCAGATACACCTTTTAAATATTTTCTCTCAATCTGTGGCTTGTCTTCCTTATTATTTTGACATTACATTTAGAAAAGTTTTAATGAAGTTCAGCCTATCAATTATTTCTTTTATGAATTACGCCTTTGGTGTTTTATCTAAAAAGTCATCACTATTCTCAGTCACCAAGATTTTCTCCTACATTATCTTCTAGGACTTTCATGGTGTTTTGTTTTACATTTAGGTCTCTGATCCATTTTGACTCAATTTTTGTGAAGGCTGTAAGGTCTGTGTATCAATTTGCTTTTTGCATGTGTATGTCCAGTTAGCCAAGAATCATTTGTTGAAGGGTCTATTTTTGTTTCATTGTATTGCCTTTGGTCCTTTGTCTATTTGTCTATTCTTTCACCAGTACAACACTATTCAGATTACTGTAGCTTTTTCTTTTTTAATTAATTTTTAGAGAGAGAGGAAGGGCGAGGGAGAGATAGAAACATTGATGAGAGAGATATCGATTGGACACCTCTTGCATTCCCCTCACGGGGGATCAAGTCCACAGCCTGGGCATGTGCCCTGACAAGGAATTTAACTGGTGACCTCTTGGTGCATGGGTTGATGCTCAGCCACTGAACCACACTGGCCTGGGAGATTACTGTAGCTTTATAGTAAGTCATTTTTTGCCAGGGCAGGGTAGGGGGGAGTACGTTTCCTTAGCGGGAACCAAAGCCCAGTCTTTCTGGTCCGTGGACAAATGCTCTAACCACCGCGCCAAATAGGCCCGGGCTATAGTAAGTCTTGAAGTTGGGTAGTGTCAGTCCACCAATTTTGTTCTTGTCCTTCAATACTGTGTTTACTCTTCTAGGTCTTTTGCCTGTACTTTAGAATTCGTTGTTGATATCCATAAAATAACTTGCTGGGATTTTGATTGGGAGAGAGCTGAATCTATAGATCAACTTGGGAAGAACTGATATTTTGACAATATTGTACCTTTCCATGTATGAATATGGACTCTCTCTTCATTTATTTAGTCCTTTGATATATTTCATCAGAGTTTTCCTCATATTTATCTTTTTTTAATTTAATTTAATCTAATTTAAAATGAAACTAGACCATCAACTTACCACAATATGCAGTCGAGTTTCCCACATTTGGGGAGATCGCAGGGGTCAGCACATCCGGACAGCAATGGATAAACCTCGACCTCGGAAAACCACCTTTGTGTTTATGGTATCTTACCTGCCAGGTAAATCTTTTCTTGTTGTTGTTTTGTTTTGCTTTGTTACAGATGTTTCTTCTTTTTTACCCCATTGACACCCTTCTCCCCATTCCCCCCACCCATCCCCGGCTTTGTTGTCCATGTCCATTGGTCATGCATACATGCACATAAGTTCTGTGGTTTATCTCTTCCCACCCCCTACCACCCCTCTTCTTAGGGATGTCAGTCTGTACCCTACTTCCATGTCTCTGGGTCTACCCTATTCCTCAGACTGTTATGTTCATTATATTCCGTATATAAGTGAGATCATGTGGTATTTGTCTTTTTCTGCTTGGCTTGTTTCACTTAAGATAATACTTTCCAGGTCCCTCCATGTCGTCTCAAAGGATAAGAGATCTTTCTTTCTTACAGCTGCATAGTACTCCATTGTGTATATGTACCACTGCTTTTTTATCCATTCATCTACTGATGGACACTTGGGCTGTTTCCAGATCTTAGCTATTGTAAATAGTGCTGCCATGAACATGGGGGTACATATATTCTTCCTGATTGGTGTTTCAGGCTTCTTAGGGTATATTCCTAGAAGCGAGATCACTGGGTCAAATGGCAATTCAATTTTTAATTTTTGGAGGTAACACCATATTGTTTTCCATAGTGGCTGCAGCAGTCTGCATTCCCACCAGCAGTGTACTAGAGTCCCCTTTTCTCCACACCCTTGCCAACACTTTTTTGATGAGTTGCTTATGGCGGCCATTCTGACAGGTGTAAGGTGATACCTCATTGTTGTATTGTTGTTTTAATTTGCTTCTCTCTGATGATTAGTGATGTTGAGCATTTCTTCATATGTCTCTTGGCCATTTGTATGTCCTGTTTGGAGAGGTGTCTACTCAGCTCCTTTGCCCATTTTTAAATTGGGTTCTTTGTCTTCCTTTTGTTGAGTTGTATGAGTACTCAACATATTTTGGAAAGTAACCCCTTATCTGATGTAACATTTACAATGATGTTCTCCCATACAGTGGGTTGCCTTTCCATTTTGATGGTTGTTTCTTTTGCTGTGCAGAAGCTTTTTTGTTTGATGTAGTCCCATGTGTTCATTTTTTTCTTTGTTTCTGTTGCCTTAGGTGATGCATCAGTGAAAATTCTGCTGTGTATGATGTCTAAAATTTTGTTGCCCACGTTTTCTTCTAGGATTTTTATGGATTCACAGGTCACATTTAAGTCTTTTATCCATTTTGAATTTATTTTTGTGTATGGTGTAAGTTGATGGTCTAGTTTCATTTTTTTGCATGTAGCTGTCCAATTTTCCCAACACCATTTATTAAAGAGCTGTCTTTACTCCATTGTATGCTCTTGCTTCTTTTGTCAAATATTAATTGAGCATAATATCTTGGGTCCATTTCTGGGATGTAAGTCTTTTTTTTTTGGTATGCGCCCCTAGCGGGAACCGTACCTGGGACTCTCTGGTCTGCAGGCCGATGCTCCAACCACTGAGCCAAACTGGTCAGGGCGCTGGGAGGTAAGTCTTTTAATTTTATTTTTAAATTACATTTAACATACCATATTATATTAGTTTTAGGAGCATAACCCAGTGATTAGGTGTGATATAAGCTACTAAGTTAGCACCCTGATAAATTTAGTACCCACCTGACAGTGTACACAGTTTTTACAATATTATTGACTATATTCCCTATGTTGTAATTTATATCCTTGTGCCTATTCTGTAACTACCAATTTGTACTTCTTATTTCCTTCCCCTTTTTCAGCCACCTCCCAACCCCCTCCCATCTGGCAACCATCAAGATGTTCTCTGTAACTATGAGTCTGTTTCTGTTCTGCTTGTTTGCTTATTTTGTTTTGTTTTGTTTTAGATTCCACATATAAGTGAAGTTATATGGTATTTGTCTTCCTCTGGATGACTTATTTCACTTAGGACAACACCTTCTAGGTTCATCCATGTTGTTGCAGATGTCAAGATTTCATTTATTTTTATGGCTGAGTCATATTCCATTGTGTATATGCACCACTTCTTTATCCATTCATATATTGATGGACACTTAGGTTGCTTCCATATCTTAGCTATTGTAAATAATGCTGCAATGAATATGTTTATGTATATAATTTTTAATTTAGTCTGTGGCTTTTTTTCAGATAAATATCCTAAAGTGGAATTGCTGGGTCTTTCTTTGTCTCATGTTAGCCTTTGTTCTAAAGTCTATTTTGTCGGGGGGCGGGGGGCGCATGGGGCAGGGATGGGAATGGGAGGAGGGTGTCAATGGGGGGAGAGAAACATCTATAACAAAAAATAAAAATAAAATAATAAAGTCTATTTTGTCTGGTATAAGCGTTGCTACCCCAGGTTTTGTTTGTTTCCATTTTCATGGAATATCTTTTTTCATCCCTTTGCTTTCAGTCTGTGTTTGTCCTTTGATCTGAAGTGAGTCTCTTGTAGACAGAATATATAAGGGTCTTTTTTTTGTTGTTATTCATTCAGCCAACATATGTTTTGATTGGAACATTTAATCCATTTGCATTTAAAGTAATTGTTGATATTTATGTACTTATTGTCACTTTATTATTCATACTTTTGATCTTTTCTTCTTTTTCAAGAACACCCTCTAACATTCCTTGTAGTATTGATTTGGTGATGATGAACACTTGGTGATATTCTTGTCTGGGAAGCTCTTTATCTCTCCTTCTATTCTCAACAATAGCTTTGCTGGGTATTCTTATTACAGATGCTTTTAATCACTTTGAATATTTTGTGCCAATTCCTTCTGGCCTGTAAAGTTTGTGTTGAGAAATCAGCTGACAGTCTGTGGGAAACTCAGGGAAACAGAACCAATGTTATTTGTTATAGCAACAATAGAAAACTAATATGGATGCCAGCCACATGCCAGAAACTTGGGATTTATGCTACAGGAGAGACACATGGGATAGGAAGTGCCATGGAGAAGCGATGCTGGTATTGCCCCCCTCATAGAGTGGCAGGCCCCTGAACGGTGGGAGTGATCTTCCCGGGGTTGAGGCTGTATATTAGGCAAATTGAAGAAACTGAAAGCAAATCTCCCTTTTGGGGCCAAATAACAAAAGGTATAGAAAGTTGGAGTAGGGATTTCTCTCAGGGTGGGGCAGGGGGCTGGAGCAGAGCAATCAGAGAGTCTGTGAGGGGAGACTTCCTACAAAATAAGCATATGTGGGGGGAAATCCCGGTCCTTTTAAGAGACAGAGACACAGATTTTTTAAAAAGTAACTTTTCTTTAAATTTGATTCATTTTCTAAAAAGAGCCAAGAAAATGACACATACATTTTAAAAAATAGGTTATAAGGAAGAAATCTCCTGTGATCGGAAAAGATTCCACGGGTATAAAAATTTGATTGCAAATTTTAAAAAGTGATTGATAGAGTAACTAGCTTGCAAGAAAGAATAAAAATTAATTCATGGAGTACAAAGATAAACTTGAGACAGAATACACAGAAGGAAAAGGCAATGATATCAATAAAAGATGAAAGACATCAAAGAAAGATCAAGAAGTGTGTGTGTGCATGTATGTGTGTGTGTGTGTGATACCATTTGATGTGGAGTACTAAAAAAACAGAGAATTTTATTCATAAAAATCTTTTAATCCTGAATATACATATCAAAAAGATTCAACAATAACTACAAGAAATAATGAAAAGTGCCAAGGACAATTACACATACATTTATACATTAAAAATAACTCTGTGAACATCTGAGGGGAAAGTTATATCCACATAAAGAAAAGTACAAAGGATTCAGAATTCTCTTCTGTAACACGAAAGACAACAAACTATTATACTATTTGAAATGGCATTTTTCTGATTAAAAACAATGCTTTGAATGAGAGAAGAGTAAATTTGCAGAGAGAGTCAAGGCAACCATGAGAAAAGAGATGGAGAGAATAAGTTATTCCTAGAGTCAGAGACTGTACTGTCCTCCTGAATATTTTTAATTCCCTTTAAAATTAAAATTTGTTTATATATTCAATACAATGTAAGGTCACAAGGAAGATAATAAATCCAGTCATTATTCCTCCACAAACAATTGCCAATAACTCTTTATTTTGGAAGATAGTTGCGTATTTTTTTCAGTATAATTGAGATCACGGAATACATACTTTCTTAATTATACTTTGTTTTTTTTTTCTCACTTAAAAGAATGTGCTGACAACTTCCCAAGTTAGCCTCAGCCCAAACCTCCTCATTAGCTTTAAGTTCAACTTCCTGCTTAGCATCCTCCTTTGGACGTGAAGGTCAGCATAACTAAAACAAACGACTTGATTTATAGTTTCCTTCTTCCCACGGTTCTTCTCTTTCCATCTTCTCCACCTCAGAAATTAGTATCACCCTCTGCTCAGTTCTTCTCCTTAAGTTGGATATCAATTCTTACTCCATCTCTCTCTCTCCTTCATGCCCTCATCCAAATTATCAGGAAGTCCCAGCCATTCCCTTTCAAAACATACCTCTGGTCTGGCCACAGTTTACAAACAGATTGTGATCTCTGTAAATACACCACTTTAATTTCTCACCTGGACTCCCAGTAGCCTCCTATCTGGTCTCCTTACGTCTTATGCTTCTCTTCTCTACTCAAAAGAGAAGTATGCTCTGCAATAACATAAACCAGACCATATTCAAAAAGCAATGTAAACACTTAGATTAAAAAAACAAAAACAAACAAACAAAAAAAACACTTGCACTGAGAAACAAATCTAAAACCCTTGTTTTCATACCTTATAGTGACTTTAAACGTGTGAATGAAGAGGTCTCCGAATTGCCTATTCAGCCTTTTACATCACACCTTCCTGCCTGCTGACTATGCTTCCGTCTTGGAGCATCCCATTAGTTTGCAAACTGCATTGAATTTACTAGCTCCTTTTTGGGGCTTCCTACATGCTGTTCCCACTGCCTGAACTGTTGTTTCTGCCACTCACGTGACTGCACCTTTTCTAGTGACTCTTCTCTGCTAAGAGAGACTTTGGACGTGCTACTAGGGATCTGCACCCTTTTCATTTATTTC